TTTTTGAACAGCGTTCAAAAATGGACAATGTCCGGTAATCTGACTAATAATAAGGGATGGAAGCCTACTAAAATGGGTGGTAAACCTCAGCTAAGGCTATACACGGCCACGAGACAGGTAGTAAACAAGAAAAAAAAGAGGCGTTTTTTTAAAACCGGTGCTTTTTGAAAAAGAATTTAAAAAATTTACCATCGAAGTGAATTGTGGAGGGCCCTGGCTTTTCCATCGACCGAATTTCAGCTTTCAGCTCTAGTACTGTTGTAATCAACACTTCGAAATGTTTAAAAACATTGCAGCTGGCCGATGCGATGACCGATAGAACAGCACCATCTTCGGGGATCCCGTACAACTTAAACGTCTATCATATTGCTGCTCGTCACAACCATGCCCAGTTGTTGCAAAAATTGCTAGCAACCTATCACATGTATTCGATGTTGCTGGATAAGGAAGAAGCAGCAAAGATCAGTGGTACAATTGGTCTTGAACTGGATGCATATGAACGATTGCCTATCCATTATGCAATGTCATACGGTTGGTGTTTCGGTATTTCTGTGGTAAATTTGCCTACAGTACCCCATGCAGTACTCCATACCTCACTTTGCACCGATTCTGCCATCTGTGTTTACAGCTCAGGGATGAAACACTGATAGGCTACCACGTCACTGTACATAAAGGCTTGCTTCTTTGAGAGATCTAAATGGCATTACTTCCAGGGTTTTCATTAATTATCAAAATTCGATTGTGTTCCTCTCCACGCTGGTTGGCCAACAACACCAAACAAACTGCATATGTTAACACATAGAAGATTTCAGGCCCCCGTCCTTTTCAAATCTCCTAGCCAGAGATATTCATTGTTTGTATCTCTAAAATTTTGCACAGCACTTACTTGGAAGAGTTGCAATTCTCTGGCTATGCAGCTGGCAACTTTCCAAGTTGCTTTGATCAGTGTTACATTAAGTGATGGTCAGCCTACTAGCGATTTCGCCTTATTCCTAATCTTGACCTTTTGTTTTTTTCGCCTTCTTCCTCTCGTTTTATGTATAATTATACTTTTTCCATATTTTTTATTACTAATTTATCATAACATTATTATTACACTTAGGCATTATCACAAACTATCCTTATGTTATACGTTAGTGTTGGGGAAGATATTGTTCCCCTCCTCCATCCTGTCCCTAATCCCTGCCTCCAGAGCCGCATCGAGGCACTCATCACCCACCATCACCACCAACCACTGTTACCATTTATCGTCCTGGACTCCTGACCAGCACCTTCGCTAGATGATGAATAACAAACTAATGATTTTTTTTTTAAATCTGAGCGCCTTGAGATCCGAATTGGCCATAAATTACAGGTAATCAAAAATGTGTGGACATTCTATTGCGAACAGCGATCCGAAAACGAGCACTGACGCAGAAAGATTCTTATGGAATGACACCACTGCATGCTGCTGCAGCTTGCGGCCGTATCGGATGTGTATCTCTTGCTGCCGATCTACTCAAAGAGAAAGATATCAACGTTCTGGACTTGTTAGAGAGGTTTGAACCCTTCTTATGTCTATTGGTATAAATTCGATGGGGAAGGGTAACTTTTTGGATAAGTCTGCCTGAAGCAGTTCCCCTGACTTTGTGCTTCCCTTGAGCGAAAGTTCTCTTACATGCATGGAAATAGGATGATTTAGGTAAAATGAGAATCGATCTCACTTTCCGTCTTTTTCTACCTGATATCAATTGTTGAGCGAGCCTCGCCTAACGCCGACGAACCCCGCTAAGATGAGGCTTCTTTCGGCCGACTTGCACTTTCCATCATGCTGTTTCCCCGTCGCACCGTATTTTGACGCTGACTACATGACGAGATATTTTTCTTGAAATCCACAGCAACAGCACAGCAGCAAGGAGCATAGAAGAGAACCCACTGATGCTAACATACCCGCTTATAAACAAGGTTTTTGCACACGAGAACCAGCAACGATCACCAGGAAAAGAACAGATCAGCAAGTGAAACAGACATCGCAAATTTGCTCGAAAAACATCTGCACGCCATCGAACGAATTTTCATGCTGCCCAACATGATGACAGGGTTGTATCAGGCGGATTTATGGTGATAACCAGATAGCGCTGTTTTATGCAGAATGTCGAAAGTTCGATTCCACCACCAGGATAACCAAATCGTTCATTCATTTCGATGGTAAATTGGCACTGGCACATGGAAGAAGCTACTTGTTGCTTTACTTTTATACAATTTTTGGTGTAGAAGCAGCTTGTTGCCTTGCCAGGAAGCTATTGCTAGTGGGATTTCCGCGTGTCCAGTAAATACAGAGGAGTTTTGAATCTTTGACTTTACGATGGCCAAGTATGTGTGTGTGCTTGTGTATGTGTGTGTTTGTGTA